CAAAGCACACTCATCTCTACAGTTGCTTTCTGTCCACAGAACAGAGGCAATGTATCAACAGGACTGTAAAACCAGTCTCTGATTTATTGCTGTCTGAGCATATTTTGCATCTGGCACACGAAAACCTGATAGGGATGGACTAGGCACTGCTATAAAGTTCATGGAGGGATTCATAAAAAAGTGGTTTATTTGTGGTGGTCAAAGGATAGTCTTTCTTGTGTGGTAGATTGCTTGAGATTCTGCTATAAATTTAATGAGGAGATAGTCCCTTCTTGGTGTATAATTCAGATGAGGGACTTAGGCAAAGACTGAAACTAATTTGTACGTGGATTGCGAAATAGGAAAAAGAAACACCTTTGCTGTTTTAGGGACTCAGAACATAGAGAGAAAAAATGAGAAAGAGGGGCTGCTTACTTGTACAATATGTTCAGGCAATATGTACTTGCAGCTTTCGTCTTCTTAAATATATAAAAATTAATCCAATTAGTTTAGATTGTTAATTAGACACACCGTAAAGTGCCAGACTACATTCTGAATCTGGGCAATGACTTATTCCTTAAAATTCCCCTCTCCCCCACTGCCTCAGTGTGTTCCATTTAAAGTCAAAGCTCAAGTTTTGCTTTCTGATGAGAGTAGCTTAAATAGAGGATTTCTGAAGGGCTGAGTACCACTCTGCATCTCTTCGGCATATCTGGGAGACCCCTTGCAAGAGGCTGGAGTGCAAGTTGAGGGATGGCTTCCCAAGCATCCCTCAGGCTGTACATTGTTGGGGAGCCAGGCAGTTACAACCAGGGAGGAATGAGTTCCTTAGAGAAAAGTAATCAGGCTTTTCTGGAATAATTATTACTATTATTTGGTGTAGAGCTAGGAAAGATATCAGCAATGCTTTTGGTTTTCAACACAAGTATTAACTACAGGTGTTCAGGTACAACCAGTGGGCAGTGGCCAAAGCTTTGCAGGACATATAGAATCACGGAATTATTGAATGGTTTAGGTTGGACGGGACCTTAGAGATCATCTAGTTCCAACCTCCCCTGCCATGGGCAGGGAAACCTCCCATGGAGTAAGAAAAGTCTACCAAGCATGGGCGACTAGAGCAAAGAGAAAGTAGGAGGAGATGATCCCCTGGTGCTGGGGACCACACTGCCAGCCTGCTGAGCTCCCTGCCTGGAGGCATCTCAGGCCATGTCCTCCACCACGAATAGCCACTGCACAGCTTGGCTGTACATGGCTGTCTCTTATTTCTTATTTTGGAGTTGTACTGCTAACGAACCTAGCCTTGACACAGGACCCACAGTCTTACATGGCCTCTCAAAGCCCCAAATCCCTAATAATTCTGGGTAATGCGCACCATCTGCTCATGTATTGTTCCTTCCTGGACAGTAAACCTTCGAGATCAGTACTCACTTTGTATTTTATAGCAACGTAGCAGCCACAGTGCTTATTGCTCCCCCAAGGCTGGTAATACAAGAGCCGTTGCCCACACCATCAGGAGTCAAGACCCCCTTTGTCAGCCCACACGCAGATGAGGAGACGGTCGCTGATCCAAAGCACTTACAAGCAAGATCCAAAGCACTTACAAACAAGACTAAATCCCCAGCCCTGGTGTGTGATTCTGGGCACCGCTGTAAGTGAACATGATGCTAATGACATATAACTGATTGAGTGTCAAAGACATCTTTTGCCTGGGCTGAATTATGCCTGCAGCCCTGATAACAGCAAGAGTGTGTGGTGAGATCCCCTCCCTGAGAATAAAATTATTTGGGTTAAAAGGCCAGAAATTCGCAGTGAGCTCAGACCATGCTGCCTCTGCTCTGCCTCAGAGGGTGAAATGACCCTTCGTCTCATGCCCCAGCACTGGAAGTTGGCAATATAGATGTTCCCAGCTTGCTCTTCCTAGCCAGAGAGCCCCAGACATATCCCTTCTGCTTACTTTTCATCCACTCTCCAAATTCTTTCATTTCTCCTGTGAGATACCCGAAAAATTGGTGGATCTGATTCCCAGTTGTCCCCAGAAGGTCCTGGGCTCTTGTCTTCTGCTCCACATAAAACTGCTTCTCACTGGGATGTTCGGACACAAAGATGTCTCCCAGCTCCATCTCTCTTGAGCGATGAGAAGAAGGAACTGTAAATCACAAAGCTCATGTGTTAGAAAAACTTTTGGGTTGTACTCTGGCAACTTCTGCTGTACTTTAGAGCCCCGTGTTGATATCCTTTTTCAAAGATGGGGTGTTTAATGGAGAATGCATCCAGCTCTGGGGTCGTCAGCCCAGGAAGGACATGGACCTGCTGGAGCAAGTCCAGAGGAGGCCACAGAGATGGTCAGAGGCTGGAGCACCTCCCATATGAGGACAGGCTCAGACAGTTGGGGTTGTTCAGCCTGGAGAAGAGAAGGCTCCAGGGAGACCTTCCAGCACCTTCCAGCGCTGAAAGGGGGCTGCAGGAGAGATGGGGAGGAACTCTTGGTCACAGAATCACAGAATCACAGAATCACAGAATGTTAGAGATTGGAAGGGACCTCGAAAGATCATCCAGTCCAATCCCCCTGCCGGAGCAGGACACCTAGATCAGATCACACAGGAATGCATCCAGGCAGGCTTTGAATGTCTCCAGAGAAGGAGACTCCACACCCTGTCTGGGCAGCCTGTTCCAGTGCTCTGTCACCCTCACTGTAAAGAAGTTTTTCCTCATACTCAAGCGGAACCTCCTATGTTCCAGCTTGAACCCATTGCCCCTTGTCCTATCACTGGATGTCACAGAGAAGAGCCTGGCTCCATCCTCCTGACACTCACCCTTTACGTATTGATCAGGGGGTAGAGGGATAAGACAAGGGGGAATGGTTTTTGTCTGAAAGAGGGGAGATTTAGATGAGATATTAGGAAGATATTTTTCCCTGTGAGGATGGTGAGGCAGTGGCCCAGGTTGCCCAGAGAAGCTGTGGATGCCCCATTCCTGGAGGGGTTCAAGGCCAGGCTGGATGAGGCTTTGAGCAACCTGGGCTGGTGGGAGGTGTCCCTGCCCATGGCAGGGGGTGGGAACTCGATGCTCTTTAACATCCCTTCCAACCCAAACCGTTCTATGATTCTATGTTTGGCTATCAGCGAGCTGGAGGGAAGCAATGCAAATTGCCAGAATGGCAGCAGACAGCAGGAGAGAAGAAAATACTGGAGGACAGGCCAGCCTGTATCCCTTTTGATGTTTTGAGCTGGTGTGTTCATATATCACAGTAAATCTACAGCCTTTCCATGCTCCTCATTCCACATCTGCCTTTGACAGACTGGCAAGAGCAAACTGGGGTAGCATCAAAGTATTGCACAGAAATCAGCATCCACGTGTGGCTTTAGACAAAGATCAGCACCTTGGTTCAAGGTTGCGTGCTCTTTAGAGAACAGGTGAATATCTAGGCAGGATTGTGGATTTTAATAAACTCCTTATTACAGTTGCAGGGCTCTGTTCATTAAAAAGTCCATTAAGATATAAACCCTTAAGAGAAAATACATTGCACCATGCCTTAGTGAGCTGCATTTGCAGCTTACATGTGCAAAAAATGCCACCTTGCTTTCTCAGGGAGTCTGGCATTGGCTGGTCAGTGGTTTTGCTCTGTTTATTTTGGAGAAGTGTGACTGGGTTTCTAGGTGTTGTCCAGAAGTGGACTGTGTTGTGGTGATCTCTCCATGTTTTGTGGAATATGGGCACCACCTTCTGGTAGCAGCCTGTTTTTTGGTAGCTCAGTCAGCCTGCTGTCAGTATTAAACCCTGTAGCAGCAGGAGGACAGGCTGGGAAGGGGTTCCTGGCTGGAGGGAAGGCTGTTTTTGTGGAAAGGAGCACTGACAGACAGATGGTAAAAATATCAGTGGCTCTGAATACCCTAATAAGAAGGTCCTTGAGCAAGCATCACAGGATGTTTTTTTTCCCTTCACCTCTGTCAGCACAGCGCTAAGTGCAGCCCTGCAAATGCATTGTGCGTGGAGCTTGTTGTCAAGTGCTTTGGCTCTCTCTGCCGGCAGCTCGTCCCTACCGCAGCAAGAGTCTTTGTGATGATCTTCGTAGAGGAGCATCAGCCTGGGGCTGGGTGTACGGGCAAGCGATGTTGTTAAGTGTAACTGCAAAAACTAAACCAGCACTCAGTCTGCTTGATCCTAAGGAGGAGGAGGGTTATAGAAGGTCTAAAGCAACAAATGTGATTGTACAAAGAGCAGACACCCCCAAGCCTCCCTGTCCCACCCCTTCTTTTTTGCTCTCTGTGATCTGATTCTGGCCAGAAGATGAGTCCAGTCTGTGGTTTCAGTTATCATAGAATATCATAGAATATCCAGAGTTGGAAGGGATCCATGAGGCTCATCAAGTCCAACTCCTGACCCCGTGCTGGGTAGCCTAAAAATTATACCAGATGCCTAAGAGTCATCCAAAGGCTGTTTGAACCCCAAGTGGCTTGGGGCCATGACCACGCCACCTTGATGACTGTCATTTTTGACTAGTTCCTTGTGGCTAGCCAGGAGGATATTGATGTAGGGAGCCTCGAGCAGGAGTCCCCTTTTGTACTCCTCTGTGTCCTCTAGGCTGAGGGAATTTGCTACGGTCAGATATAGTGAATTTGCATCCCTCTGGGGTAGGAAGAGGCCAGGTCCTACTGGAAAACAAGATATTTGTGCCTGAATTGATCCCATAAATACCTGGCTGTGTAAGATGGGTCGTTGCCCTGGGTTTCCTCGTTGTCAGTGTAGTTTTGCGCACCTTTGGATGGAAGTCAACTCATCTTGGCTCAGAACTGCCCTTTGAAAGCTCCTGTTCTTCTGTTTGACAGCTCAACCTGGGTGCTCCAGTCAAATACCCAATGTTTTTTTGGAGTGACACGGGGTCTGAGGTCAACAGCACAAAAAGAGAAGAGACTCCAGAGCAATGCCAGGCTAACACCTGGCTGTCATAGAGGTTGATTTCCATCCAGAGCTTAATATTTATTTTTAGCATACTCAGTAAGATATTTTAGAGATATTCAATGTTGCCTGTTCTGTTTATTTGCCCATGTTCCATCTGGAAGACTTCTCCAAAGAGTTTTGAGAGTTGACCGGGGCTCAGACAGCTGCAGTGGATCCACATAAAGGAGCCTGGAGCATCTTTTAGGATCCTGAGGTCTCAGGGGTGCATCAGTAAAAAAAAGGTTAGTAGCCCCTTTGCTGTGAACAATATCCACCACCAGCAACTGACTGCAGCTGTAACCAGCAGGGAGAATAAAAGCTGAGTGGTTATGTCTATGTCTTCATAGCACCTGAAAATCTCAGGCTTGTTTTAAACCTCACTGGGAAAAATTACTGTTGGGTTTTACAAAGCAGAAACATCACCGCAGAGCTTCTAAAGCCTGTATTTACAAGACTGCACTGCTCAATTCCCTCTGAAATTGAGATGTGGACCTGTATATTTTTAAAATTCTTGTCCTTGCTCACATAATTTAACCGTTAGGGGTTAAATGCAAAATAGTCAAGTGAGAGCCCTTTGCAGTCAATATGGAGAGAGGGTAGTATCTCCAGAGAGTGATTCATGTCCCTTTTCTTACATACCTATCCAAGATGTGAAAAAAAGGCTGTCTCTCCCTTTCCACCAGCTGCAGAGGGAGCCTGGATGCTGAGTTTTTAAAGGGCTATTTTCAGGCAAGAAAAATTCCAGCCTAAGAGATTTTGCCAAGGTCAACCTTGAAGTTTATGGAAGTGGGATCTGGAGTCCCAGGCTAGTGCTTTAAATCACTGAGCCATCTGTAACAGGGCTGTAATCTGCATCAAGAAGGGCATCAAAGCTCTGGAGCTAAGAAAAAAAAATTACAGTCTCTTCTTATGATTCCTGCTTGCGTCTCCCTGTAGATCAGAAGGCAACAAAATCCCTACTTGGAAGGGAGCACACTCAGATGGTAAGGCAACCTGGGCCACGACTGGAGGAAAAAAAATTACAATTTTTTTTGGGAAAGGAGTAGTGCAAAAAAAAAAAAAGAGATATGGGGATGCTGAAATTCTCTATGGTGCCCCAGTGGTGGACTGGGGGGCTTTACAGCAGCGGAGCTCAAGGGGCTCAACAGCTAGAGAAGATCTTGGAGGGCTGTGATGGGCACAGTGACCCCTGCACGAGCATCACCCTGGGAAAACACAATTTATTTGCAGCAAGCACCTATCAGTCGATAGGCTTGTGCTCAGTGCTACAGGCTCCGTGAATAATAGAGAAATCATTTGAACAATTAGCTAATTAGGGCTAATGAGAGCCTGATTCACTTATGGCACACCTAGGGCTGATGGGGAATTCCTTGAGAAGAGGGCTTTTTGTCAGCAAACACTGATTCCTCAGTGTGGTAACGAGCTGTCCTGCTTCTTCTGAACATTTATCAGACTGCAGGGTGATGCCTGGTGGTTAGGGCTCATTTCTACACCTCCCTGCGCTTGGTTGTTCCCAGTCAAACAGCTGTTGGAGCATGCTTTTGAGGTACAGGACACTGATGGCACAGAGTCTTGTATTTTTAAGCTTTCCAGAGTAAGAACTGGGTTTCTCTTTGGCTTGCGCTGCTAGAGAAAATGTTCACAGTGCGGCACCATCACACAGACTGCAGTGATGTGATGGCCCCATGAAAAAAAAACCAAAGAACTTCACAAGAGAGGTGGGTGATGCATAACACTTGAGCCAGGTTTTCCACAAGGCTGCTGTTTGTGTAGGGAGTTTAAGCCTTAAGCCAAGACAACTGAATCCAAGCCTGGGCAATTGCTCTCTCCTCTTGCTAAGCATAGAGGTGATCAGAAAAGCATTGACTTCAAGAGATGTGATCTCACAAGTTCCATGGAAAGAAACAGTTTATAAATGCACGTTGCTCTCATAAGAAACCATAAAGAAATAGAAAAGAAATACAGCCAACAGCTAGAGGGCTAAATTTTGGGGTGGTGACAGAGTGCTTGGCTGAGTGATGGTGACTTTACCAAGCAAAACTCTACTGAGGATTAACCTGTGACACTGAAAACAAATGAACAAAGCAGGGCATTGCAGAACAGTCACTGAGGTTGAATGCAACACAAGTGCAGAGAGCAGGTATGAAACACTTCACCTCAGACCTTTAAAGTAAAAAAAAAA